GAGAGAGAGAGAGAGAGAGAGAGAGAGAGAGAGAGAGAGAGAGAGAGAGAAAGAGAAAGAGAGCTGGTAGATAGGAGTAAAGAGAGAAGTAAGGGGATTGAAAACAAGAGTTGTGACCTGGTCACACAGCACGGCATGTGGTCCTCCGCAAGCCCCATAGGCGTCAAATTTCGAGTGGCATAATCATGAAGCATCATCATAAGTGCACAAAGACCATCGTCACTATCATAATCATCATCATCGGCGTCGTCATCTTGCCTAAACTTGAGTTCTCTTTCCTTGGTGCTTATCGAACCTTCCATCCTCGACTTTCTAGGGTGTCGATTCTTCTTCTCCTTCTTCTTCTTCTTCCTCCTCTTCTTCTTCTTCTTCTTCTTCGTCATCATCGTCTTCTTCTTCTTCTTCTCCGCCTCCCTCTTCTCCTCCTTTTCCTCCTCCTCCGCCTCCTTCTCCTCCTCCTTCTCTTTCTTTCTTTCTTCTTCTTCTTCTTCTTCTTCTTCTTCTTCTTTTCTGCTCTTCCTCTTGATGTTGAAATTGAAAGAACCCCACCATCGTCGTCTCGTCATCACCGCACCGTTTTCGAAATTGAAATTGAAAACACCACCGCAGTCATAATCATTATTGCTATCATTATTATCGTCAGGAGGAGGAGCTGACCATTGCTAAATCGCTAATACGCGAAATTGAAATTGAAAACACCACCATTGTCGTCATGATCATCGCGTATTAGCGATGGATGGTAGCTGACCAACATTGCCGTCATAATCATTATTGCTATCATTATTATCATTACCATTATAATTATCAGCAGCAGCAGCAGCAGTAGCAGTAGCAGCAATACCTTTCTCGACCTTTTGGCTAGGTGAGATCAAGTGCATCGTTTCTGTTCTGATCAGTTTAATATGTGGTCCGTGTTCCATCGGGCCAATTAATTTTATTTAAAAGAAAAAGAAAAGAAAAAAAAAAACGTCTGCAAGAAACCAGCGGCGTTACCTGCGAATCCGGACCAGCACAAGGGCGGGGCCCACCCTGACTTTTTCTTAAAACCGTCTCAGGCCAGCGTGGGCCGACCGGTCGCAGGGGCGCCAACTGGTCAGGTCCTACCAGTCGGTTCCATCGAATCAGACGGTAGGTATTGGCTGCCAGTGGCGGGGCGTGCAACACTCACTTCCACCCTCCTCCTTCCTCCTCCTCCTCCTCCTCCTCCTCCTCCTCCTGCTGTTGCTGCTTTATTTTCCCTGCCCTTCCTGCATCACTTCTAAATCACTCGGAGACTTGAGTAAGAGAGACGGGACCACGACTAAGTATTCCTTTCGCCTCTTCGTTGTGTTCGCCCCTTTTGTGGGATCGTTAGGAACCAATGATACCGAACATAAGGAGAAGGTGAAGGAAGACTGACTTCCTGCCATTACTTCTAAGAATCGGTCGGAGCCAGAGTACGGCGGTAGTCTTTGTAGGATTAGTGGGACCTTTTGGACTGAATGATACTCAGCGAGCATAACAATGATAATAGCAAATCCCTGGCATCCCTCGACTTCACTCTCCCTCCGCACGTTTAATACGGTCATTTTGCTGCCCAGCAGGATGACCTAATGTTAGGGCCAGCAACCAGACTGAATATGTTCGACGGTACCCTCCTCTCTCTCTCTCTCTCTCTCTCTCTCTCTCTCTCTCTCTCTCTCTCTCTCTCTCTCTCACACACACACACACACACACACACACACACA